TCGGATCAAGCACATTTAAATGATGAGAGGATCAGACTGGAAAATCTTTACAGGGGAAAATCAATTTTTAAAAGTTTGTTTACCAAAATTTCCATCTGAAAAGGTATAATATTAATAGATCGCATATACTTTATGTAAATACTGTAACGACTAGAATTATTTATAGGTGTATATTAATCATTTGTGATAATATAAATTTATATCCGATTTAATAAAAAATAAAAATAAAAATAAAAATATTTCATTTAAAATTTGTCGAAAGAGGATGTATGATTGTGTTGCATAATACGTTAACTAAACATGTGCTGTCAATTCAATTTTACGAGATAAAGAATTAATAACAGGAAGACGATTTAGAATACAGTAATTATTAATGTAAAAGACGAGAATAGAATTTCTTCAAAGGATATCTTGTTCAAAAATGCCTGGTGGGGCTCTTCTGTATTCTTCGATGACTTTAAGTTCAATTTTCACAGAACAGAATACCTACCGTCGCGTCTGTGGAAATCATAAAAAAAAAACAAATAAATTGAATAAGTTCAGACTACTCATAATCTTTGCTTTGCGACGGAATGCAAATGTTGCACAACAAGCGGTGATAACAGGGCGATGTGGCGGCCTTGAATTTAACAAATAATTACAGAGTCTTCTAAGATAGTGACAATAGATGTTAGAAAGTTGTCAATGAAACGTGTCAGACAAGATGTCAAGTTTCTAAAAATTGTTTATAACGCGTCTCAATCAAGCAAACAGAGGTTTGACTTGCAATGGTTTAAAAATAAGCGTGTTATTATTAGCAATAGTGGGTGTTAATATTAATTAACAATGATAGATTTGAAAGAACGATATTATCATCATTAAACACTATGAATTTTCAATGAATCCAAAATACATTACTTTTTAGCTATGATAATTAAAAAAATTCTTTTTCAAACACTAATGACTCTCGCCTCTAATTACATCATAATTTCTGTAAAACTTTTTATAATTCTTAATTCCATATTGATTCACCAATCCTTCCTCTTTATATTTCCTGAACTTCACCAGCAAATAATCCTCTAAATCTATTCCGAACAGACTTACGCACTCATTATTAAAATATATGTTCATCGGTCGTCCTCTACTCTTCCGCCTCCTCAGATAATTCTCGAATTCTCTGAGCGAATCCAACTTCCATATATAGCAAAATTCGATTGTACTCAAGTTCATGCTTACTTTGTGCTTTCTATGCAATGTCGATGACGCCAAGTCCGTGGAATTAGAAACTGACTTATCGAGTTTTTCTCCACCAATCTCTTTATTCTCCTCCAGTTCATCTTCCAATTCCCCTAAACACTCAATCAACTCGTTAACATACGGATCGTAACTATCATCGTACCTTGACTTTTCATATCTGTAACTGCTGACCGTCAAATGTTCCAGCTTTTTGCACGACCTGATCACCTCTTTAAATTCTTTGGCATTCAATTTGTGAAACCACGTTGAAAAAAATCGCAAATTCGGGCAGCACCTTGCTATGGTGGCGTTATATTCCGGTACGTTACAAAAAGGTTTTCTGATGTATGCCAGATCAAAGCAAATCTTTTCGAGTATTCCACTTTGAAAACCGTTGCGACTAATTCCTCCATCCATTTTGATAATACTGTGGATCCTTGTGCACCTCTCAACAAATTTTGTTAACACATCCATCGATCGCATCAGTCCCTGTATCTCCAATATCTTCAAGTTCGGAAATGTGGTATATAGGAATATGTCGTTGACATCATCATAAAGTTTGACGCTCAAGGATTCCAAGTTTACCAATGCCGCTATATTGGCAAAAGGAATTGAAGCCGCATTACCTCCCCCATAACTAAAATACTTTAAAGTGTTCGCCTTACTTGATATTGCATTCGCAACTTTGAGGTAGACGTTAGAATTGGCGTGGGTGAACACACCAACAGCCTTCAGATTTTGCTGAACACTGATTAATGTTGCCAACCCATCGTTATCACAACGTAATTCATCGATGACCAACTTTTCAAGATTTCGACATATCTGTGCCATCCTATAAAATATTGAGCATGGCATCCGACTCGAACAATGCAATTCCGAGATATTCGAGAAACACAATTCGGCATTAGGCAAAAATGGCAGTAATACAATCTCGTCTCGATACTCAAGTCGTTTCAAAGATCGACATCTGCTGA